TACAAAAATTTTGTACTGTACTTTAAAAACAAATTTAAATTATTAAAACAATTTTGATAGCAATGAATGAAGTCATATCTAATGGCAACCACAACCCTTTTGTCTTTAGTCGGAAGAACCACGGATTGGCATACAATTAAAAAGTAGACATTACGTCAATGTCTAAAACAGCGTGTATATTAGACAGGAAAGCAATTTCACTTGATGCTAACTGTTAATTAACGCTGGCTCAAAAGGTAGGTGGTGTTCATTTTTTTTATTATCAAATTTATTCTATCTTGATGTTTATAATCAAATTTGCATAATTGCAACATGCATTATATAACTGCGATGAGGTTTTACTAACTTTAATTAAGCTCAAATTAATGAAGCTTAAATTATGTCTATAATGTTCATATCGTTCCTAGAAATATTATTTTAATAAATTTTACATTTTTTAGTTATAACGTAACCTGAATAAACATAATTTTCATATAAAAATATTAGACATAATTCAACAACATGATTTTAACATTGCAGCTTGGTTTACACAAATGCAGCTAAAGTTTTATAGATTGCATTAAAGCCTTGCAAATGATCATTCAATCCAAGTTTATATAGTTTAGTTGAATTTACGCAATATTTAAACTATTATTTACATTTATAAACTTGTTTAAAATTAAATGGTAAAGATGGTGTATAATTATGCATTTTTTAGTTGTAACTTTAAATAATTTTACTATTGAAACAAAGTATATTTATTATTTAAATGTATATTATGACAATCAGTAATAATTTGCTGTAAATATTTAATATTGCAAGTTTAATTTCAATATATTACTGGTTTATTTTCAGTTATATATAAACAGTTGAACCAAAAACTATAAATAAAATAAGATTCAATTTTATGAAATTTCTTTTCAAGATAATTAAAGAAAACTTACTTAAAATATATAATATGGGTAAGTTTTTAAGATTTATTTTGTTTAGTAAAGTTGCAGTAATAAACACCAAGTATGAACTTTTTATTTCCATCTTAAATTAAAATAAAAAAAAAGAACAAAACTTATTTTCTGAAACAATTTTTTATTAATCATATGGTTCTGCCTTTATTTAAAAAACTTTATATTTTCTATTTAATTTGCTAACTTTTAATCTTATTTTTCTCGTTGATGCGTAACATAAAACATAACAAAACGTGACGACGATGTGAATTCCTTAAGATTTAATCACGGTTTTATAATAAAAAAGAATTTCATCCATAAATAGAAATCCGTTAGAAACTTAGCTTTTCAAACTACACTATTTAGTTGGTAAGTATTGAATTTTGAGGATAAAAATTCTTTAAATACTCTATCTTTTTTTTTTAATCAATTTAATTTAGCGTGAACACATGATCGTGTGTTTTATTAGGTTTATATGTGACAAATTGATAAAAATACAGTATTTATCGTGAGCCATTGAACACTCTATCGTGTACCATAGAAAAAAGTTGAGCCATTTAAAATTAAAAATACTCTTCCTATAATTATAAATGACTAGACAATTATTATTGATCTTACAAATAATTACATTATAAATTGACCGGATAAGTAACCAATATGCATGAGAAGCAGAAAAATAAATTTTAACTTTAACTATTTTATTTGATTTACTCATTAAGATATCATATAATAAATTCTTATGACAAAAAAAATCGGAATTAAATGAATGAAAATACTTTTTTCTCTTATGCTCTAAAATATCTTTTCTGCTGCGCATCATTTGTTTGAAATTTTATTCTGCTGCGCATCATTTGTGATGACATGATTTGTTTGCCTATAAATTTATGGATTTTAACAAAAATCACAATTTACTTGACATGTTTGTAAAAATCTCTCTTAAGAAATATTATACGTTTAATAATTGGAGACACATGTGAAAAGTTCTCAAGGTGACGCCCAATACTAAAAAAATTTCAAAATATAACATTTTTTGTTACACTTATATATTTATCTTTTATTTTCATTATGTTTTTAATTTAATTAAAAAAAAATAATGATAAGTTTGAAATAATATTTAAAAATATATTTGCTTTTTATCTAAATATATTTTTTTCTTTCTTTTTTTTGTCATAATTGCGTTATTTATGTTATTCTTTATATCATAGGTGAAAATATGGCATATATCCTGTTTTTAATCATATTTTTCAACTTGGCTTATTCGCAATATATTGAAAACGATTCAAAAATTAATGATTTTACGAATAGCATAAAAGAAAAAATTGAACGTGAACTTAATAAAGACCCTGGAACTCCTTTAATGTCAAATGACGAGTTTGCACAAGGATGGTGCATTGAAAAAAAAATCAACATAACATTGAGCCACCCAAAATGCAATGACAAAATTGTAGAAACCAATTACTGCTGGGGTCAGTGTAATTCTTTATACATACCAGGGAGAGTTTTGCTTCAAAGTTGCTCGCAGTGTCGAGCGAAAACTGTCAAAACAAAAATATTTGAATTGGATTGCAACTCAAGAAGAAAAAAAAAGACACGTGACATAGCAATGGAACTTATTTCATCTTGCGAGTGTTTATCTTGCGAAAAAGAAGAAAGATCAGAAAAAAGATTTTAATATACTAACCAAAATATAAAAATGTTAAAACAAAGATAATTTAACAGATGTTGCCGCTTCAGTTAAAAATATGATTTTATGCTTGAAATGTGTCAGTGTTATTGGCAAAGTGACAAACTTTAAAGTTGAGTAACGGTTAAAATGACAAACAATAAATAATAAAAGATTTCTGTTTAATATCACGGTGAAAGGAAAAAACAATAAATAATGTTCATGCTATTTGTTTTGTTTTCAATTTTCAAGTAAAAGATTTTTTACAAAACTATTTTGTCTTAAATAACAACTTTTATAAAAAAAAAATTTTTTACTTAAATTATAATCTTACATTTTTAAATCTTTCAAAGAATTTTTTTTTAATCGTTTGGACAAGTCTAGAAATCCATTAAAATATATTTTGCTGTTTATAGTAGCCATACAACAAACTTTATAAATCTCCCTTAAAATATTTTTCCTCTTTTTCATTTTTTAACATAATTATATTGTGAAAAATATTTCTAAATATTTATATATTTATAAATAGATAACTATAAACTCTTTATATTGTTTTAAAACAACGAATGTATTTTTTACCTTGCTTACTTTTTTATATGATATTATATAATGTTTTTTGTTATGTAATATTATATTGGAATTTAAGTTTTTTACTGAGTAGCATTCAATTAGAAATTTCTTGTTTGTATCCTCACTAATGTTGTTTTTGTGAAAAAATTCGAACTCAATTTAATCGGAGAACAAATCCACAACCGCCTTTAGAAAAAGTAAGCTGACTGAACAGTTAAAACTAAATTAGCTAAACATTTGACTATAAACTATTGACTAAAACCTTCCGCACTGAGTTAGCTAAACTGTCAAATAATTAATTTATTGTAACTTATTTATTATAATCAAAAGTTTATACTTTTAGCTTCATTTTTAGTTCAAAAAATTATAAAACAAGTAGGGAAACCAGGGGCAAAGTGAAGCACCTTTTAGATGAATGTTAAATAACTTAAGAAGAATTACTTTGTATTGCAGGAGAAACCATTAGATTATTATTGGTTTAATATTTACTTAAAGAGTAGTAATATTATTGCGATTTTTCACGGAATCTGGGGCAAAGTGACAAAAGTTCAACTTAAAGGCAAAAAAAAAAAACAGTCTAAAAATTTGGTTTTAGTAAAACTGTAAGAACTTTTGATTATATTATATTTCAGTAAATATAAAGAATTCAACTTAAGAACATAAAGTTATCTTGTTATTGTATAATGCAGTGTTATGAAAGATCTATTCGCATAATAAGCAAATATTATTTAAAAACAAAAAACTCATCAGCAATTAAAACTCTAGCGCAAAGCTTCATGTATGTCAAAATTTTTTAAGAAAAATTTAAAAAAAGAAACTTATATTTAAAAGTTTTATAATTTCAAAATAGTGCTTTGTTTATCCATACTAAATTAGCGTGCCATGAGTGATAATGGATTAAATTAAATAATATTTTTTTGTTGAACTCAAGAAATGAACACTCATATGTTTATAAGATGTATATAGTATTTAATTAAATTGGCAATATGGTTGGAGAGTCGTTAGTTTTATCATTAAGAATATTTAAATTTTTCACAATAATCACAAAAAACTAGTAAAATAAATAGATAAAATAAAGGCCGCAAACAATTAAAAAGGTTTGAGAAAAACCAGCAAAAACTAATCCACTTTGTGTTTTAGCATAAAAAATAAATAACAACTTGGTAAATACTTAACGCTTTCATCTATAATTGTAGGGGTTTAATATGGGTAAGATTGTTTTTTTATTTTTTTTTTTATTTTACATATTTTTTTTTTATTTTACACATAAACATGTTTATTTCGTCAATAGAAGGACTACAACTATGTTAATGTGTGCTTTCTCCAGATGATATTTTTGATTTAGAAGATAATATTTTTATTTGATGTGTCCAATATATACTGTATCAAGTGCTTCATAGTGCCAAATGATATAATTAGTACCTGCTTTTTTTATCAAATAACTAAAGTATTTATTTGCAAACACAAAAATTAATTTAGTTTCAACGAAAGCTCATAAGAGGAGCTTTTCTTAAACTTAATATAGTTTTTGCATAAATTCTGTTTAAAGTCAAGTAATTGTAAATTTCGTTATAAATTACTTTTTCATAAATTCTAAAAAAGAAATTGATCAACAACTCAATTTTTCTTTTACGTTTTTTTTTTCTAAGTTTTTTTCACGCATTTTTTAAATTTAATCACTACTTTTATTAAGAAGACAAACCTTTAGCAACTTTTAGATTTTTAGGAAATGTGATAAAAAAAAGGTTTTATAAATAAAAATATAAATTTTTTATTTTTAAAGTTGATTTTTCTATTTTTGAGGCAATCGAACCAAGATTTACAATATATTTACTCAGTATTTGGAAGACAACTTTTTCATCATTTAATCTTATCTATAAGCAGATATAATAGGTGCTTCAGATAGTAATTCTCTTTGAAAACATTGATTCAATAAAGGAAATATCAATGCATAAAGAAAAATAACCATTTTTTGCTAACGCAGGGTAATGGCTGGGTTTTCTATTAATAATACAAATAAAATGATAAAAAGTAAATAATCTCTGAAAGATACTTTTCAGAAAGTTTAAAAAGAAAGTGATGCATTTACAGTGGTAATTACTCGCAAAGCTTTATTTGTTTTTAATTATATTTGTAATATTTTTTAATCAACTTTGGAGTCATCATTAAAAATATTTTCGTGTCTAAAAATTTTACAACCCAATGAGTTGATTATTGAAACCCAAATCATCCAATATATCATGTTTCTAACTTACTCTATCTTAATCGGAAAACTGGTACTTAAAAAAGTATATTAATAGAAGTTCAGGAGTAATATTTTCTTTTTTTTAATTAAGCCTAATTAAGGTTGTTAATTTTATAGTTTTTTTTTAACAAAAGACAAAGTACTTTTAAAGCTTCGCTGTTAATGACACCTATTTTTTTTTTAGACGTCTTGTTAAGGTCTAATAACGTCTTAAACGCTGGCTGAGCAGCAAACTGTCAAATGTTGTACATAGTTATCATTATGTTTTTCATTTATTAAGAATAATATTGAAAAGATTGCAGCTTTTTATATCAAATAAATATATTTTCTTTTAAATATCATTACAACAAAGGCTATAAAACAAATTTTATGTTAAAACTATTGTTTTTCAGTCTTAATTTTAACTGATTTGTTTACGACTTAAACTTTTTTGTTTAAAACTTAAATAAAATGCTTAGCACATATATGCACTTAATTCAATAATTTTTTGATTTTATTTTTAATAAAACTTTTTTGTATCTCAAAAACCAGATTTAAATGTTTTGCTCAGCATTTGTCTCATAAAGTAAAAATTCGAAAAAGTTTTCTCCGAATAACTTGTTTGTAGACGAACAACTTCGTTCAACCTAAGCAACATCTTACTCCCAGCTCAGAGGCTTTTGAACACCTAACGTCTGTATTGAATAACTTATATTGTCATAAGGCTACTTATGTTTTTTTTATTAAATATCTTACATAAGTTGTGTAACAATGTCATAAGAAAGCAAAAAATCTTTGTACGCGTCTCCATTATTTGAACTTTGTAGACAACGTGTAAATTAAGATTTTTATTTGCAAAAAAAAAAAGACTTTTTTGGAATTAAATAATTTTTTAAATCAAATAAAAACAAACGGAGCAAGTGAATGCTTTGTTGAAAATAAACAAATTTTTGTAATTTTTTCAAATTCTTCTATAAAAACCTCCTTTTCCGTTTTGAAATCTTGTAAAGATTGTATGTCTTTTTTTTTTTTCATCTCTAGAATTGGATTAAAATGCAAAACGCAAAAGTGTAAAAAGGAAGACGTTCAAAAAGTATTAGTGAGTTCCGGTAGGTTACAGAAAGTTACAAATGTTTTTTATGAGACATCCTATTTCACCACATGATAAAAAACATCAGCTTTGTTTATTAAGCTTAGTATTGTGGCTGATTGTGCCAACTAAATCTATAATCAATACCTCTCCCCCCCCCCCCACCCTTCTCTCTTACCAAAAGAAGGGGGAAGGGGAAGGGGGAGCGGGCACTTTTTTTTAAATTCACCCCCTCCCTCTAACAAGATCATATTAATTACAAAATAATATCATAAATAAAATTTGATTTGCAAAATGATTTTTTTTTTTTAATTTATTTTAAAATTGTTTCTCAGATTTTTTTTCTCTTTAGTTTTTTATTTTATTTTTACACTTTTTATTCCGTTTTAAACAGTTTTCTTTTTTCAAAACAGTATTAATGACGTTTTTCCAAAATGAGGTTTGCGATCCTAATTCAAAACTCAGTTTTAAATAAGACTTTGGTAACCAAGTTGTTTATTAAAAATCTTGTTGCATACTTTTGGGTATTTCTAAAGAATGTTTAACAGGATTTGAGGGGTGGTTCATATTTTGATTTACACATGAACTGTAAAACAAAATATTAGTTTAAAAAAATTTTCATAACATTAAAGTTTTCAAAATAAAAAAATCTTCAATATTTTAACCTTTGTAATTTAAAACATTAACAATTTTTTGTTTTAAACTTAAATTTAATTTTTAAAAAGCTTAGTTGAATTTATTTTAAAAAACTAGATTCAATAAATAGATCTTCCTTATTCAGATAAAAGACAAATATCTAAAAAATATGTGAATATCTACATTACGTCCAATTACAAGTGGTGTATTTTTGAATTTGCTGAGTAAAAGTCCAAGTGTAATCAGTTACTTATGAATAACAAATAATATTTTTTTACATTTACTGCATTTTTCACACATTAGTCAATGCTTGAACTAGCAAGTTTAATAAAACGTTAATGTAATAAGACTTTAAAAGTATCGCTTTATAAAACGTTATGCAAATTTATAACCG